GGCCAAGGGGTCCGGGGCGGCTTGTGCTGGGTCGACCTGGGTTGGGGAGAAGGGATGCCCTTCGCTGAAGCCAGTGCCACCCGGAGAGCCGCGAAAGCCCCCCACCAGTGGACGCAAGCGCGATGAGGCTTCTGGTTGCTGTGGACTCGGAGTGCGCTGCACTTGCGTTGGAGTCAATGGTGTGCGGCATGGGCTACGCGTCCGATCCCGCTCCTGGGACATCGCGACAAATGACTTCGCTGGCATTCAGCTTGGCAACATGAGCTGGAACAGTTGGCACTACTGCCTATCTCCAATCAAGCCTTTGAGCATGGCGATGTAATGTGCCCTGCGCTAACAAGCCTGGAGCAAGAAGACCGGCGGCGCCCAATCTTGGAGACTGCGGGCTCAGCACGAGCAAATGCCGACCGCTGCGCGCGGAAAACGAACCTATACTCGAGGCATCCCGCGCAGAAAGCGTGGTCACTGCACGCGGAAAATTAGCACTGTTTGAAGCTGTCTGGGATTTTTCTTTCCGTGTCAGGTTTTGGACCGCGCCTGTGCATTTAAGCAGGGCATCCCGCACTCCAAGACCAAGCATGCTGGCCTTGAAGGGAGGTCATCCTGCGTTGGACTGCAGGGCATCCTGCACTTAGGCAGGGCATCTTGCACTTCAAGACCAAGAGTTCTGTTCTTGAAGGCAAGGCATCCTGCGCTGTGGCGCCGCAGGGCATCCTGCATCTCTAAGCGCGGCGTCGCAATGCATACGCGCGCACTAGGAAACTTGGAGACAAGCCAGGGGAGGAACCGCGCGGAGGCGTGCAATGCAAGGCCTGCAAGGCATCCGCGCGCGCCCGCAGTTGCTTCATGCCGTTTGGTTTGCTGTGCGGCGCCGCCGTGCTGTTGGGCTGTTTTGGATCGGCAGGCTCTGCGTGGTTTTGTTTGAGGCCGTCTGCTTTCTGCTTGCGGGATTTTTCTTTCCGTGTCAGGTTTTGGACCGCGCCTGTGCATTTAAGCAAAGCATCCCGCACTCCAAGACCAAGCATGCTGGCCTTGAAGGCAGGGCATCCTGCGTTGAACCGCAGGGCATCCTGCACTTAGGCAGGGCATCATGCACTTCAAGACCAAGAGTTCTGTTCTTGAAGGCAAGGCATCCTGCGCTGTGGCGCCGCAGGGCATCCTGCATCTCTAAGCGCGGCGTCGCAATGCATACGCGCGCACTAGGAAACTTGGAGACAAGCCAGGGGAGGAACCGCGCGGAGGCGCGCAACGCAAGGCCTGCAAGGCATCCGCGCGCGCCCGCAGTTGCTTCATGCCGTTTGGTTTGCTGTGCGGCGCCGCCGTGCTGTTGGGCTGTTTTGGATCGGCAGCTCTGCGTGGTTTTGTTTGAGGGTGTCTGCTTTCTGCTTGCGGGATTTTTCTTTCCGTGTCAGGTTTTGGACCGCGCCTGTGCATTTAAGCAGGGCATCCCGCACTCCAAGACCAAGCATGCTGGCCTTGAAGGCAGGGCATCCTGCGTTGGACTGCAGGGCATCCTGCACTTAGGCAGGGCATCTTGCACTTCAAGACCAAGAGTTCTGTTCTTGAAAGCAAGGCATCCTGCGCTGTGGCGCCGCAGGGCATCCTGCATCTCTAAGCGCGGCGTCGCAATGCATACGCGCGCACTAGGAAACTTGGAGACAAGCGGGGGGAGGAACCGCGCGGAGGCGCGCAACGCAAAGCCTGCAAGGCATCCGCGCGCGCCCGCAGTTGCTTCATGCCGTTTGGTTTGCTGTGCGGCGCCGCCGTGCTGTTGGGCTGTTTTGGATCGGCAGGCTCTGCGTGGTTTTGTTTGAGGCCGTCTGCTTTCTGCTTGCGGGATTTTTCTTTCCGTGTCAGGTTTTGGACCGCGCCTGTGCATTTAAGCAAAGCATCCCGCACTCCAAGACCAAGCATGCTGGCCTTGAAGGCAGGGCATCCTGCGTTGGACTGCAGGGCATCCTGCACTTAGGCAGGGCATCTTGCACTTCAAGACCAAGAGTTCTGTTCTTGAAGGCAAGGCATCCTGCGCTGTGGCGCCGCAGGGCATCCTGCAGCTCTAAGCGCGGCGTCGCAATGCATACGCGCGCACTAGGAAACTTGGAGACAAGCTAGGGGAGGAACCGCGCGGAGGCGTGCAATGCAAAGCCTGCAAGGCATCCGCGCGCGCCCGCAGTTGCTTCATGCCGTTTGGTTTGCTGTGCGGCGCCGCCGTGCTGTTGGGCTGTTTTGGATCGGCAGGCTCTGCGTGGTTTTGTTTGAGGCCGTCTGCTTCTGTTTGCGTTGTTTTTTTCTTTCCGTGTCAGGTTTTGGACCGCGCTTGTGCATTTAAGCAAGGCATCCCGCACTCCAAGACCAAGCATGCTGGCCTTGAAGGCAGGGCATCCTGCGTTGGACCGCAGGGCATCCTGCACTTAGGCAGGGCATCTTGCACTTCAAGACCAAGAATCCTGTTCTTGAAGGCAAGGCATCCTGCGCTGTGGCGCCGCAGGGCATCCTGCAGCTCCAAGCGCGGCGTTGCAACTCATACGCATGCGCTAGGAAACTGGGAGACAAGCTGGGGGACGAACCGCGCGGAGGCGCGCAACGCAAAGCCTGCAAGGCATCCGCGCGCGCCCGCAGTTGCCAGAGAAACGGGGACACGGAGCTGACTTAGCGAAGTAAGGTCTCCGAGTCAGAACCCGACGGCCCGAGTCGGCCGCGGAAGCCACGTGTCAGACGGAAAGCGCCGTGTCAGACAACGACGGCCCGAGTCGGCTGCTTGCAAATCTGACTTTTTCGTCACCGGCCATGTCATTCAAGCTGCAGCTACCCGGTGTGAGACGGCCAAGGCTCACCCAGCAAACCACGCAGCATCAGCAGCATGTCGTCGGAGAACGCGTGCCAAGCCTTGAACAAGGAGCCCATGCTGCGAGACCGCCCATACACTGGCTCATACTCTTGCACGTGGTTCATGCAGGACACAAGCAGCGGCTCCAAGGTCTCTGCGTGCGTTCGCCAGGATGCCCCCCAGGTCAGCTGCAGTTGTGTGCGAAAGGACACGGGATTATTGCCTTCACAGGGAGGCTGGAGGTCAGGCCAGGAGCATGTCACTTTCCAGTGCTCACAGCGGCGGAGGCTGTAGATCACTGTCATGAGAATGGTGACGGTGTCCAGGTTGGTAGAGGACTGCTCCCCTCCAACGTGGCGGCAGAGGCTGTACTGGATGCGCAAGCACTGCTCCAGATGCCACAAGGGAGTGAAGTTGCCGTATGTGACCTCCTCATGCCGGCCACGGTGAGCAGCCAGCGCAGCCTGCATCCCACCCACCAAAGCCATGACGTGCTGCGTGTCAAGTTGGACGGACATGTGCGGCAGCCAAGACTGACAAGTGGCTGAAACACTTCTCGGGCCAAGAGCGCTGCAAGGCAAGCAAGGCAACTCACAACACAAATCAGTTGCAGGTCACGGTCAGCATGAAGCAATGACTCCGGATCGCCCTGCTTTGTGCGACGCCAGCAACCCCTAGACTGTCACAGCCCTTTTCGGGCGCATCCCCCAGAAGACCTTGGACCAACTGCGTGGCCAAGCGCGCTGCCAACTTGCTGGCAAGCGCCCCCATTGTTGCACACTCATCGATCGAGTGTACGGACACTTGGGCTTTTTCCGCCCGCACTTCAAAATTGGACCCTGAAGACTCAGCACGGGCTGCAATGCCCTGGCACAAAAAAAAGCATCGACCCCACCTTGCGGGCTGCTGCTGGCGAGCCAGCGACCGCTGCAGCTTCTTTTGCTGCTTTTCACGCAGCGCCAAGCTGGCCGGGCATCCTGCGTTGGACCGCAGGGCATCCTGCACTTAGGCAGGGCATCTTGCACTTCAAGACCAAGAATCCTGTTCTTGAAGGCAAGGCATCCTGCGCTGTGGCGCCGCAGGGCATCCTGCAGCTCTAAGCGCGGCGTTGCAATTCATACGCATGCGCTAGGAAACTGGGAGACAAGCTGGGGGACGAACCGCGCGGAGGCGCGCAACGCAAAGCCTGCAAGGCATCCGCGCGCGCCCGCAGTTGCCAGAGAAACGGGGACACGGAGAAGTAAGGTCTCCGAGTCAGAACCCGACGGCCCGAGTCGGCCGCGGAGGCCACGTGTCAGACGGAAAGCGCCGTGTCAGACAACGACGGCCCGAGTCGGCCGCGTATGGGACGGCGGGCACGCCAGAAGAAGCGCGGACGCGGAGCTAACTTAGCAAAGTAAGGTCTCCGAGTCAGAACCTGACGGTCCGAGTCGGCCGTGGAGGCCACGTGTCGGACGGGAAGCGCTGTGTCAGACAACGACGGCCCATTGGGGGCAGTTCCTGAACGCGCTTCCGCAACCACGCGCGAGTGTTGTCTGACTCGCGCGTAGGCGTTGTCCGACTCGCGCGTTGGCGTTGTCTGACTCGTGTTGTCTGACTCGCGGGCCTGTTGTCTGACACGGTCTTCGCTCCCAACGGTTGCCATGCTAGGAAGGGCAATGGGTATGTCCTTTACCCAGGACAACCCCGGAACGGTTGGTTTGATGTGACAAGAAAAACATCAACCCTGTCTGGGGATTTTCTCAAAGATGGCTCGGCCAAGCTTCTGGAAGCACACTCTGGGTAGCAAACAAATCCCAAGTTGTGGGGAACAAAAGTTGAGGATCCGTACAAGGGGATAACAAAGTTGTGGGTAGCAAATATATCATCCGCAAGGGGATCAACGCTCACATCTTGCTGGGTCAGGAAAGAACCCCCTTCTCTGTAACATGATCGTCCGGAAAAGTGTCAAGTCCAGGAACTCTGGGAGTGAGAAAGGTTGATTTCAACCAGAGTGGCCCCGCGAGAGGAGAAGCTTTGGGATCTGTCAGTGAGCCCTCCGATCATGGAAACCTGCAGATGCACTTCCCATGGAAATTGCTGGCTGGCTGGTATAGCAGCAGTTAGCAAGATGCACTGCAAAAAGTTCTGCCATGTACACTGCTTGAAAACCCGGTACCCTGAGACAGGCGGCTTGAGGGCAGAACAGGCGGCACCATCTGTCGCGTTGCCACATCCGTTCTGCGCAAGTGCGGAGGCCAAGTGCCATGTGTTGAAGCTCATATGCGGTCGCAAGGTTTCACCCGAGACTCTTCCATGAACTGCGTCAGTTTTTGGTGTCTCCGCACAACGATCTTGAAGCAGCTAGCAGCTACTGGTCTCTTCCCGCGGAGAAAGCTTTTGATTACGTGTTACCACGGGATGCTTTCTACTTGCCATCTGATAATTGCTTGCCCACACTTTCTGTAGGATGTCTTCAACTTAAAGCTTCCTTCGTAGCCACGCATTCCTAACAAACAATGGTGAAGGCACTGCAGTCTCAAGTCCATGTGAGCCATCTCGATTAAACGGTGAACTGAATATGTCTGGAGGCTTCGTTTAGGGTCGCCTTCGTTCTGGGTTCGGGCAACCCTGGAGTGTTTTGATCCCTCATGCTCAACTAACCACCAGCTGTAGGCAGAAGCAACACGCTCGAAAAACATGAGTGTTTACGTTGGGAATCGCTTATCATTCCTTTGACCAGGGCTCACAGTCACATCTACAGGATTCGACTCTTTGTCCAATCCTTAGGTGGTGGTTCGGATTTGTGGTTTAGGGGATGTGAACCTCTGGATTTTGTAGAGGGTACATGGGAACCCCGGACCACCTCCAAGGTGGGGCAGGATTTCGTCCATCCACAGTAGGGAGCCCCTTTTGGGCGCCCTACTGTGGATGGTTGCGGCTTTCCGCTTCTCGCACCGTTCAGAAACCCTGGTTTCTGAGTCGACTCCCCAACGTAAATACCAAACAAGGGTGTCAACCATGGTTTCAAAGTGGTGCGAATGGAATTCGTCCATTCATGGTATCTTTGACATTCCACACTTCACTGACTCCACCAATATGGATGTGGATGTGGAATGATTGGCCTTCCTTAAATGCAAGGCATCGCAAGTTGGTTTCCGGGTTTGAATGCAACGAACAGCCTTGTCTGCTCTTGGATGTGTTGAACCTGCCAAGCAGTAAATAAAAAGCGATTGTTCTCTTGCGCCACACGCATGCTCTCAGGGCGCTCGCGTTTTGGTGTCATCGTGGATGAACAGGCAGTATGCATGTGTCATGATCTGGATGTAACCGGTAGTATGTGCAACGAACTAGGAATACTAGGTACATATACTGCCCACAACACCCGAAACAACACGATCTCCAAGCTCTGGTGGGAACACAAGATGACGATAACAAGATCCTCGAGTCATGTCTCAGGTATCGCTAGCTCCATTTTCATGCGGCTCGACACCTCAATGAAAAAAAGTGCTCAGTTGTCCCAGGGCATCCATAAAGGAAGCTGTTTCACCGCGCAGCCTTCAGAATTTGGGCATAGGTTTGCCAACTTAATCTAACTATAATACTACAAATAACTCCGGATGGAGCATCAGCCAGTGCTACTTAAAGGGGCCATGGATTCGCTACGTCAGGTAAGTGGTGAGCAAGCCTGGTGAAAACACCCCCTGAACGGATACTTTTCATTTGTGGCCTTTGTGAGTAATTCGTCAGTGGAGTTCGTGTAGGAATTCGTTGCCCTCGGATCCCACAGAGCACCCTCATGAATTTCCCGCGTCCAAAGAACTTCCGATCGGTGCGAGAGAGAGATGCAGGGAACGAGAAACGGAATGACCCCCTTGTTTGCCATCCCTTGAGGTTTCCTTTCAGGAGGTCCCTGAGTTCATGGCCACATCCCCTATCGCAGCAAAGTGATACCCTCAAAATGACCCCTCATACAAAAGAAGTAAGACTCCTTTTTAAGGGACTCAGGTGACGATAGCCCGAGACCATCCAGCCTGAGCACGATGCGCTTGCCAGTGGGAAGAAAGATAATGTATCCCATGAAGGTCGGAAACCTGGCACCATACCTCGGCGATGCTTCGCCGGCTGAGGAACAAAGGCTCAGGGATCCTTACATGAAAAACACCTGAACGTTGCCTTGTAAATGGTGGTTTTCAAATGGTTGCAAAATGTAACTTTTACAGTAAGGAACCCTGCTCAAATGGCAGGGAAAACTGCGGAAATTCCGCCACATGGAGTTTGTTCCCTGTTGGATTCTTTGAACACGTTTTGACACATACCCAAACGCTTTCTGACATGAGCAAAGCTCACTCCGGAAGCACCCCCTGAGCGGGCTGACTTTGACTCTGGCGCAGAAATGGATCCTTGGGCCGAAGTGGTTGGTTTCTCTTGTCTCCAATTGGCTGTGGGTCGAAAATAGGCACCCAAAACGGGTTGCCTGGTAAATGGAACCAAAGACTAAAACCTGCGGTCCAATTCCTGGTGGATTTAAAATTAATCCACACCCAATTGGTGACTGAATTTGCAGCGGAGTTGAGGTGCATGTGCCTTCGGCTCCCTCACGGCTTGCATCCGGGAATCTTGTCTGGGCTATTCAATTTGATCCGGTTCCGACTATGTCAATCGACACACGCGCACATATCACCACACTTTGACGCAAAAACAAAAACAAACCAAATGTGGCAGGCTCCAAAATGGGTGGCCATATCTTTGACAACGGAAAAACATGTCAAACAAGTTGTGCACAATACCTCCGGGCAGCCAAACCGCCGGGACGTTCATTCGTTTTAGTGGGGGCTCGTCCTCAACCTCCAACTGAGCCCGCAGAAGCGCCCTGTGCGCATGCACCATGGAGCAACATCGCCTCTAAAAGGTTCCAAGGTTGAAGGTCGTTTTTTGGTGTCTGGTGTTTGTTTGTAAAACAAATAAACAATGTTGAAGGTTGCTTTTTTGTTACAAGGAAACAAGGGCAACTCTGGGAGGTGCCAGGGCTGTAAAAAAACGGCCCATATCCTCCGGGTCAGTAGGTCTAAGCGAGGCGGAGTCCTCTGGCTGACTCACGGAGTTGGGTTTTGATCGCATTTTGTTTTTGTATTTTAAGCTGGGCGCTTTTCAGCCAAAGCTGCGTACTCTCAAAGAGCTGAAAAAACTTTTTTTCAGCCCTACATCCAGGGAGTGTTAAAACAGGCAGGGGTAAACTGGTCTACCCAGAACCATGTAAAGCATTAAGAAGGCGGATATCCGCAACTATTTCTGGCTGGGACTGCCCCTTAACCGGATCATCTACCCGAATCGGCTTTGAGCACGTGGCTCATCTGACATTCTGGCCGCAAACCAGCGCAAAAGCGAGACAAACTCACCAGCCTCTGTTTGCTTACCAGCAGTGATAGATGCCCTTGAAAACCAACAAGGCATAACAAAAAGCTTGTCTGAAGAAAATAGAAGTCAGGTATGAGGCTGCCATCACTCTGAAATGAATTTGAGAAGGCACCTGCGAATCAAGAAGCTCACTGAGTCAAGGAGGTTGCGGCCAGGTTGTTAACTTACACTTAAATGATATGTCAAAATCCCGGTTAGCCCCCAGTGAACATCCCAATCCAACCACTAAAATCCCGACTAAAATGGGTGGTAAATTCACCTACCATCCAAAATGGGATCCCATTGGCTTTGACCCACAGCCAAATGTGGCAGAGGCACTCACCCAGGCCAAGTCTTACGGGACAACACACCAAAAGAGACACGTCCCGTTTCTCGGTATCCGAAAAAGCCCTTGCTTCGGTTTTCACCACTGCTCACCTCCCTCGTCCACCCCTTCTCCCCTCTTTTCAGCCGAGACGGCATCGATTGCTTCGTCACAAAGCGGGTGTAGTCGGGAATGGTGGCACCCTCCAGCGCTCTGACTGCATGTTCAATGCCCACCTGAGCCATTCTGAGGCACTTGGCTTTCTGAGGACATAGAAAGAGCGCAAACCAATTGAATGCAACACATACCATCATTCTTCTGAACACATGCTGCTACGCTTCTTGTTTCATTATCATGATGGCCATTATTATTGGTGGTAGATGCAGATAGTAGTATGCAGCAGCAGTAGTAGCTGTAGTAGTAGCAGTTGTAGTAGTAGCAGCAGCAGCAGTAGTACAGCAGGAGTAGTAGCAGTTGTAGTAGCAGCAGCAGCAGTACAGCAGGAGTAGTAGTAGTAGTAGCAGCAGCAGCAGCGGTAGTACAGCAGGAGTAGTAGCAGTTGTAGTAGCAGCAGCAGTAGTACAGCAGGAGTAGTAGTAGCAGTAGTAGTAGTAGCAGCAGCAGCAGCAGCAGCGGCAGCAGTAGTGGTAGTGGTGGAAGTAGTAGCATAGCAGCAGTAGCAGTAGTCTTGAGAAGCCCCAAGACGGGGTTGGCGATCTTTTTTGGCATTCCCCGAAGCACCCGGAAACAAAGGTGTTGATTTTTGTCATGAGAAACTTCCATTTGGTTAAGACCCCTGGGAAAAATGAAAAACAATCCAGTAGGGATAGATTCCCTTCAAAACCAACAGGGGAAAATAAAAAATATTCACTTCAGCAAATGGAAGGGAACATGGACCGCAGAAGGAAACTGAAGGTCAAAACTCGGTTGCTGTCTGCTCCCCTGCTAAAAGTTAAACACTTTTAGTGGTTTAATACGGAAAACGCCATGAGTTGGCCAAAAGTCATGTCCTAACATCCCTTGGCAAGATGCACCAAAGACAATGTCGATTTGCTTACGATCGAAAACCGGAGTCGAGAGCTTCGCCTGGTCCAGGATCTGCCAGGCTGAAGAGAGCCACACCAGCTGAATGGGTATGGACCCGTACCTGGGCTTGCGCCCGAGCCCCGAGACCTGCTTTCGCTGTTTGCAAGGTTTGCGCCACATGGGTATGGGTAGTTTTTTTCACCCACCAGGAATTGGACCGCACGCTTTTAGTCGATGTTTCCATTGACCAGGGCTCCATTTGGCCAGTGCCTCTGCCACATTTGGCTTTTGTCAAAACCGTTTTGGGATCCCATTTTGGTTGGTAGGTGACTTCACCACCCATTGTAGAACTTATTTTTGTGGGGTTTGGGATGTTCATTGGGGGTACAGGATTATGCGAAAAAAATCAGGTTGACCCAGGATCAATAAACCCGTCCCACTATTTGGGGGGGTGTTCCCTCCAAAAGTGGTCTGAATCCCCTGTCCCCCCTATTAATCAACGAGGAGTTTATTCATCCGGGGTTAACATTGATCAGAAGAGAAGAAGCTTCAGACCAGGTACACTGCAAGGGCCTGCAATTAGAAAGGGGCTCGTCGGACGCCTCAACAAGTTTAGCCACGATCGTTCTTTTGTCCCAAGAAGTTACCCTGCAGGGTCCGCGGTGGTAAACTTGGATCCCAGGAACTGCTTCTGGCCGGCCTCGGCCTCCGGACTTCCCTCTGGTGACACGGCGGCAGGGCGAAGTGCCCCGCTTGAGTGGCCGAACACACCCCGCTACCCGCCACTCGCCGGAGCAGGGCGCGGGGCATCCCGCTCCGGGAATCTTTGGGCCCATCATACGGGTCTCGCAAGGAAAAAGAACGGAAACACGACGCACTGAACATAGGGGTGTGTGAGAAAAACCTGAACATTCCCCCTTGCTGGGTGCCTTGCGGAAAAGGCAACACTGCCATCTCAACTATTGAAGAAACGACCTCCCGAGAGGAAAGGATTATTCAACCAGAGGGCTTCATTCTATCAGAAGGCAAACCGACCGAAACCCCTGAGGCAACCCAGCCTGGGGCACTCACCCCCCATGGAAAAAATACAAAAACAAAAAGACACACCCCCTGCTCTCTTTGCAGAGGTCACATGAAACGCCCTATAAAAACGAGCTCCTTTCTCGGGGCATCCCTGAAGCTCACTTCCTGAGGCAAAAAAAGAAACACCACCTCGCGCCCCAAACCGCTTTTATGCAACTACTCCTTGGGCGCGAGGAGCTGCGCGGTCGCCTTTTCCTCGAGCTCTGCGAACTTCATGTTTAAGCTGGGGTTGGCCTTCAGGTCACCGGAAACGGCGAAACCGCGCCAAAGACTGAGGAGTTTGGTTGGGTTTTGGGAGGCTGTGGCCGTGGGGGGGCCCTTTGAAATGTTGTGTGACCAATTCTGAATGGGTTCTGGTAATTTCGGTTCGGGAAACACATGACTGTTTGGCGCAAGCCATCGGAAGCTATATGTTGGAAACCGTAAACCTGGCACGGCAAATTCAAAACAATGCAAGGACTCTTCAAAGCACCACATTGGTGCTACTGTAACCTTAAGCGCGAAACGGTGCATCCTTTACGCCGCAAAAGGGTTAGTGCCAAAATGGGAGGATTGCCCAGCTCCACTGGGCAGCTCCCCTCAGCAGCTGATGGGAGTAGAATTGATGCCACTCCCACAGCGAGGGAGGAATCCTCCCACCTCACCGGATGCCCTCCCGGCATCATGGGTGAGGAAGGAACGTAGCGAAGATCAACTTGATCAATTCGCTTTCGACTGAGGGGAAGACCCTGTTCTCAGTCGGAAATTGCGGGTCCGGATGAGTAAGCTCATCCGCCCATGTGTTAAAGTCGCGCTTCACATGCGACGGTCCCAACATGACCTGGTGGTCATGCAGTGTTAACACAATTTCCATGAGGATGGCCGCATTGGGCATCCTGCGAGTGGAATCGTTAAGCAGGGAGAAAACGTTTCCCTGGTTATCACTAGCGACCAGAATCCTAGTGTGAGAAACAGAGCCGGCTGCACAAAGCAGAACAGCCCTCACCAAAAGGAGGAGGCCGAAGAGCTCCAAGGCCGCTATCGCCCGCTGCGGGTCCCCAGTAGTGAAAGCCCACGGCTCGCCCTCCGGTGTGATTTTGTGTTGGAACCACTTCACATGGGACTTGTCGGGGTTGGGCACGTCCGAGCACCAACCCCCAACCCATGCATGGTCCGCCTGTTTGCCAGCTCCCGCATCAGATGCCCCCGTCCATGGAAGTGTGGGAGCAAATGGAGATGCCAGTGGGAACCTCTGGTTGAAGAGCTTCCCCAGAAGGATGGCCAGAGCACGAACCAGCTTCGGTGGTCTACCCGAAGTGGTGCAGGCCTTCTTCCAGCTCCAAAAGGGCTGGAGGAAAGGTTTCGTCAATGGACATGCCGAAGTAGCCCATTGAATCCGGCCCAGGGCTTGTTCCACCTCCTTGCTGGTAAAGATGTCCCCCTGGGCCAGCCGTTTGAGAGTGGCCAGGATTATGACATGCTTGACTGGAGCCAGTAGCACACAGGGCGTGATTGGGTCCACCACGAACCCCAACCAGGTGTTGACCGGGGAGAGCGCCGTCTTCTTCCAAGAGAGCGGGACTCCCAGCGCCAGAAGAGTGGCCAGGATGGCTGTGGCGTCCCAGTCCGCCCTGCTGCATCTGAGGACCCAGCAGTAGTCGTCCACAAAGACTAGGTGCCAGTCCACCTGAGGGAAGATGTAGTACAAGAGTCTGAGCACCAAGGATGCCTGTCTTCCCCAGTACAGTTGTGCCGAGGCCATGCCGTACGTGCCCACTCTATTGACCCACCACCGGTTCTGGATGCAGGCCACCTGGTATTTCCAGTCTTTCTGGAGCACTTTTATGCGCCTGTGGGCCTTGGTGACATCCGCCTTGAGGATGATGAAGGTTTCCCACTGTGTCGGCGGCTGCCACGTCAGGGGTTCCCCCCTGCTCCCTCCAGGGTCCGTGCCTGGGGGGGTTGGGGGGAATGGGGCCCTCCTATCAGGGCCCTCGGCACCTGGGAGTGGCCCCTTCCCTGGGGGTGTTGACCGCGGAGAGACGTCCAAGCCACCCGAGGTCTCCATCATCCGCCTGCCTCTATCAGGGCCCTCGGCACCTGGGGGCAGGCTGGTGGTGGGGGGTCCCTCTCAGGGCCCTCGGCACCTGGGGACTGCCCCTGTACCGGCTGGTCAACGTCCCGAGGTTCCACATCAGTACCCGAGTACGGGGCTCGGAGTAGATGAGGATGGTCCGCCGCTGTCCTGAGCCAGTGGATGGCATGGAGGCAGTCTCCAACCATCGGTGCGGTGGTCTTCTCCTCTGTGTGAGCCTGGATGTGTGCGTTTGCTCCCCCTTTTGAGCCATCATAGATCGTCCTGATCTTGTCCGACTCATCAATCCCTGCAAGGGGGCCCGGGCAAAGTTCCTCCGGTTTGCAGCGGCACCTCTCTGCCGCCTCGGAGCGAGTGAAGGGCCCGTCCACCATGTCCAAGGCTCGTTCCTCGTAAAAGGTTGATTCGATTTCCTTGGCAAAGAGTTCAGCCGTTGGGTAGTTATCATGAGCCACTGGCGGGGGGGGATCTTCCCCCAGCCAGGCTTCTCCCTTAAGCTCCTCCTTAGTGGGCCAAACTCCCGGGGAGGTCAAGGTAGGGTCCGAGACTCCCAAGGGGACCCCCTCTTTCAGTGTTAGGGGGAACTCCCAATCAGGGTCACCTGAAAGGGATGCCAAGTGCGACACTAAGTCCAGGAGGAAGGGTTGTCCTGGGCATCGTTCATGGAGGTGCCTCGGTCCTAGGATAGCCCGCAGCTCCTCGAGGTCGGCTTCCTGGAAGGGGTGTGTGGTGGCACCTGATGCCAGGGACATTCGGACCTTGTCAATCCAGGGCCGGGTAAGGGTCATGATCAGGGCGCCCAAAGTAGCCAATGGGGATATTCTCCGAAAAGGGGGGTTGAGCCTCCCAGAGGAAGGTTTTCCCCCCCCATCCCTCACAAGGCGTGAGCGGAAACCCAATTGGACAATCGCCACCTGGTCAGTGAGGTGTGGGACCCTGAAAGCGGGCAGGCATTCGGGGCGGTCCAGGACCTGGTCCCTCCTTCCCCAGTTTTTCCACATCTCCGGCCATCGGGGGCATGGGAGATGGGATGTCTGGGTTCATTGTCCCACGAGGGCTTACGGTGTCTGCCTCAGGGTGGGACTGCCCGTGCATGCGGGGCTTCGGGGCGTTCTTGCCTCCGGGCTTTGAGCCCTCCTTGACTGGGCCCCCGTTTTCCCCGGGGGGAATGGCCTTCCGGGGGGTCCGGCCCCCGCCCCTTAGGTGGTTCCTTGGGGTTCCCCGGAAATTGAGAGGGGATCCGGATGTGCCCCGGCGCTGCGAGTGACACAGCGATGGCTTTGGCCAGGCCTGCCATCATATCCCAAGGGTATCTGCTAAGAGTCGAGGACTCGTTGGTGCCCACATGTGACTGATGCGTGCACCGCATTTGATCCCAGTCCTGGATCGGGAGATCCGTGGCCAACGTAGTGGCCTTCTTGACCAGCTGGCCCAGGCGGCACTGGTCGAAGGAGATTGCTGTCAAGGAGTTCTCCTCCATCCAAAGCTGCCCCTCCTCTGTGATCCAGAAGGATGAGCATTCCTTGGCTTTGGGCAGCGAGCTGCTCACCACTGGGTCCTCCGGGTGTTCTAGGAAGGACCTGGGCCCTGGCAGAGAAACCGCCGCTCGTGAGGCCCTTGCCAGACTGGTGATGTACATCTGTCTCAGAATGAGGATGCTGTCATCATCAAGTTGAGTCTGGGCGGCCTGGTCCAGGTGTGGAATGCCCCAAAGTGTCTCTGGAGTGCGCCCTCGCACCGGGGTGGGAGCCCACGGTTTTGGTATGTGGCGCAGGATGGACCATGTCCTGCAGTTGGGTCCTCCTCCAATCAAAACCACTCGGCCCTGCTTTGCTGCCGTGCAAAGAGCTCCATACAGCTCGGGTTGGAGCATATCGTGGTCCCCTTTTGGTCCAGACCGTAGGATGTCTACCGCCACCACCATGCTGGAGAGGTGTGGGTAGTTGGCATGAAGACAACTGTCCAAAGAGGTTGGGTCTTCCTTGCCTGCATAGAGCAGGACAATGATGGGCCCACTGGATGGAACTTTGGGGGATGTGCCCTGTGCTGTAGCAGACGCTCAGGGATGTTCTCCATCCACGGAAAGATGTCCAGTCCCGGTGACGGCTCCGTTGGACTTGTCAGGGGGGTAGCTGAAAGGCGTTGGCCCCCTTCATTCAGCCCCACCGAGCTCTTGTGGAAAACCACCGGGTCCTGCTTGATGATGTTGGGCGCCGGAAGTGGGATCGGCTTCCTCCTGGGAGTGTCCCTTGGCGTTGCGGTGTGCTGCCAGTCATCCGGCACTCGGACCTTCTGGGTGCGGCCCCCCGTGTCAGGGCCCTGCGGGGAAACGTCCCGCCCCCGCCATATCAGGGCCCTCGGCACCTGTGGCTCGGGACTGAGGCACCGCCGTTGTGCCGGTTGTGTGGCTGGTCTGATCACGGCGAGGGCGTTGTGCACGCTGGTTCTGCCGTCCCCATCCTTGTTCCGCCGAGGATGGCCGCCACCTGGCCTGTCCCCCCCCTGTGTCAGGGCCCTCGGCACCTGCGGGAGGGGGCTCCTGTGCCTGCTTGGGGCGTTTGCGCCCCTTCTCGCCCCCCCGGGCCTTGTCAGGGCCCTCGGCACCTGAGGCCTCACGGGGGGTAGGGGTCAGCGCCCCTAGTCAACCCGGGCAGTCCTGCGGGAGATGGTCCCCCAGGCAGATGCGGCCCATTGCCAGGATGAGGTTGCACTTGTGGGTGCGGCCGCAGTTGCCCGGGCAGCGCCCACGCATCCAGTTGTTACAGAACTGGTTCCCTTTCGGGTCGGTGGCTGCCTGCTTGCTACCGCCCCGGGACACCTGATTGTTCGGGTGGGGGGTCTTTCCCTTCCCTTTGTTCCCAGGCTTGCCCTTGGACTTCCCCTTGCCCTTGGACTTGTTCTTGCCCTTCTGGGGTGGGTGCGTAGTCCATGGATGTCCTGGTTGGTGGGCGACCCCTGGAAAAGGTCTTGATCTTCTCATAGACCTCACGTGTCCAGAACAATGTGTCCTGCCTGACCGACAGCATGGCAGCCTTGAGGGTGTTGCCCTCATGCATCTTCTCGTGAATCTTACGCCATGCGTTGCGTTCGGCAATTGCCAGGACGTGGTCCTCTGGCGGGGGAAAACGGCCCCCGATGTCCTCCCCATAGAACCACTCGT